CGACATACAACCTTTCGTATATAATTCTCCATTCATATGAATTCCTTTACAACCTTGTGTCATATCATGTGAGTGTATTTCACGGTATTACAAATGCCCATATGTAATCTTCTAGGTTCAACATCTTTTGGTTATTTGCATTGTATTCAAGTATATAGGTCTATTTTTCCACGTTCTTACAAAATTGTAATGGAATTGCCTTTCTCCATTTTTGGCCAATAATTTTGTTGACAGAAAAAAGAACGAGACTCAATATCAACACAGCTCATTGATGAATTTAGTAGCTATTTATAAAAACCAAATTACCATTGGTTATCATCAATCTGTGATCCCATATTCTTATGTGCATGCGCATGCATAAAAGCTTTTCATTTCTTTGAATATCCATTGCCTCTTCAAGGGCATTACATTATCTCTTCCAGGATAGTCATAGTTTAGAGAATACAAATCATAATCTCCTTTAGAGCGTATTATAGCTTGGATTTTAATCTCCACAACAGGAGTTGAGTCATTGGAACCTATACGTCTATCATGCTTCATGCATGAGACATCAACATTCTCATGTCCGCGGATTGTCCTTTCTGGGACGTATATCCATACAGCGACTGTCATGCTTCCGGCATGTTGCAGTTGTGCTTCGGGAATGCAATAGTTCAGTAGTGTCATATTCCTCTTCTTTTGAAGGACTGAACCTTTTGAGTTTGAGGGTCTGCCATGCTTCAGGCGTGCAATAGATAAATCATTTGCTCCCACATTATTTTGTCTAACAGGGACATCAATTCTTGTAGGCATATTTGCAGCAAGTATATGTGATTTCATCACTTTCATGGTATCATTCAATTATTCTTTCTTCATTTTCTCATTGATTGCTTCGTGAATCCAAATAAGACCAATTCTATTCGTTCTTCTGGAACAGTTTTTCTCATCATTCTTCTGGAATGATATTTTCTCATCGTTCTTCTGGAACGAAGTTATTTTCTCCCCCTAACGGAAAATTGTCTTGTCAAAATGATAGGCTGCAAACCACGCGGTAAACATATCCCCAATCAAGGGTTTTAATATTGAATGATAGATGATGAATCAAATCCAACATATATTTCCAATTTGTGTTGATGCCTTATTTTAATATATTGTGGCAGTGCAATAGGCACATGGATAACACAATCAAAAACTCATAAATGTATAATGTTTGGCTGGTTCCTAAACACGAGTTTTATTGAGAAGTATTGATGGTTGGAGATAGGTCCCAACCAAACTAATAATGCATCATGACATGTCACCATGTAGAAAACTTGACGATTTTGATTTCAAGAGCAGAGCGTGGGTAATCAATTTCATCCGCTTAATAAATATTTCTGCTAAACCATTTTAAGTATGGATATAAGGAACTTCTGATGCTTATTTAATAGTCTGTAGACTGAGACTCTTATGGCTTTTATTACAATTAAGTTGAGGCACTATGGCACTTCAAACTTACGGTACTCATCAAGGAACTTTATGTCCTGATTTTGAGGATCAAGGGACTTCATGCCCGATCTTTTTGTATGATGAAACTTCAGGTCCAATCATTTTTATATGATGAGGATCAGGAAACTACACGTTCTGATCTGGTTAAGGAACTTTGGGTCCTGTATATACTCATCGTAACAAAAGAAGTACAATAAATAAATTACAGCAATAGACGCTAATTCCAACCATAGTAAATATATTGCATTTAAGTAAATAAAGTTTGTGACAAGGGCTTTAATTCAGCACCTTTCACATAAATCAAAACTTAAAGCAGTAGGCGGTAAAACCGTCCATGGTAAATAAATTGCTTTAAAGTAAATAAAACGAGTGAAAGTGTTTTAAGCCAACACCATTCACATATATTTTTCCTTCTTTCTTTTCAGATGGTGTAACACCATCCAAAAATCTTTACCCCTTTTTTTTATTATTATTATTTTTTATTCATTCACATGGTGCAACAATCCAAAAAAACTTTGTTTTTTTTTATCTTGGTTTCCACATGGTGTCTGACGCACCATCATTTTTCCTTTTATTTTATTATTTTGTCTTATGCTTTTCCAAAATGTGCTGATGCATCATTCCATTGCTTTTGCCCCTTTTTCTTTCTGCAAAAACCCACAGACTATTACTTTTTCCATGGGAGAGGCCAGATAAGGAATATCATTTCCCACCCTCGTGTTTTCTTCAATTTTCCTTGCATGGTCCAGAGAATATGGCATCGCGAAGCAAGAACTTCTATACAGGAACATAGATGGCCTCGGGGTTGATGGAGGTACAAGAGAGGGTGGCCTATGTGGAGTCAGTCCTGCCATCACTATCTCAGACAATCGAGTATTCATGGGAGTTCTCGAGATCCGTCGAAAACAACGCGATCTGGGTTTCCAAGTCTGATGAGATTCTTCAGGATCTCTAGAAACCAGTTGTCAGGTACAAGTTTTCTTATCTTGTGACAACTGCAGGTCGTTGTAAATTTCAATTCTCACCGGAATTCAGTGGGGCGCTTCTGGCGCGAGGAGAGACGAAAAATGGACATACCTTTTATTCTGAGAGATTTTAGTTGACGGAGGTGAGAGGTAGATAGTGCTTCACTGGATTTATGGTGTTGTGCTTTCCACTGACACAAGAGCTTCTCGTGTTGATAACATGTTGTAAATTTGACAGTGTGTGCAGTGGAATAAATAAAAGAAGACAAAAAATTTACGAGGCTCCTCTACAGTCAGTGTGACTGGAGTACGTCCTCAAGGCAGCGGTGGTGCTTCCATTATACTTTAGAATAATAAGAGTACAAAATAACTCTCTCTCTATTATCCCCTCTCCTCTTCCTCTCTTTTCTCTCTTCCTCATCTTCTCTTTTTTTTCTCTTCCTCTTATGTGAGCCTCATTCGTTTTATAAGTAAAGATAACACTATCAACTTTACAGATTTTCCACAAATGAATAGGAAAAATACTGTGCATAAATAGTAACAGACTATTCATATGGGCCATCCATATATTATTCACAACATCAACAAACATAAATTCATAGAAATTTAAAAAGAAAAAAGAGGTGTTTGAAAATCTGTTTTGAATGAAAATTGGAATGTACCTCTAGATTTGGCCTCTAAGCAACGTGGTGGATAATCCATATATGTTGCCTATTCACTTTTTTTTTTTTTTTTTTTTTTTGTCAAACCAATAGATTTTGTTATATTAGATATTAGATTAGCCACCGACGAAATTTGAACCCACGCCGTCATGAAAGGGCTCAACACATATCCACCACTGTGGTAAAAGGTCACTTGCTGCCTATTCATTTCATGAGTGCTTGTTCCATGTAAGGTTTGGGTCCTGCGAGTAGAGGGAGAAAAGTCAACTTTTTAGTGGTCGCTCGGTTGCGTGTGTATCTATACATGCATAACGTCCTCTAATGAACATGCACAACCGAAAAAGTATAGCTATAGGTGAAACAAGAAAGTCTGCTGATCTTTCAACGAGAAACGTAAGTCTATCCGGCTTAAAAATTTGTGTACAACGCCATTGATCTTCCATTAGAAAAAAAATATGACTACGTTGTAGTTGGAGGTGGCACATCAGGGTGTCCATCGGCAGCAACTTTATCAGCAAACAACTCTGTGCTCGTTCTAGAAAGGGGAGGTCTTCCTGCAACAAATCCGACTTGACTCAAGATGGGTTTATATACTATCTCCAACAAGAAGATGATGGAAAGACACCGGTTGAAAGGATCATGACAGAAGACGGTATTCCTACTGTTAGATGCAGGGTTCTTGGTGGCGCTAGCGTAATCAATACCAGAGTCTACACCAGAGCTTACATGTCATTCTACAACGAATTATGAATTAAATCGGACATGGATTTGGTTAACAAGTCTTATGAGTGAGTTGAAGAAACTATTGCGTTCAAGCCTAACTCATTTCCTTGGCAATCTGTTATAAGAGAAGCATTTTCGGAGGCTGGTGGTTTTGGTACTGATAATGGATTCAGTTTGGATCACAATAAAGGAATAGTCACCGGTTCAACTTTTGACAACATTGGAACAACTAACAAGACATGCAGCTGATGAACTTCTTGTTGAAATATCCTACATCGATCGTATCTTTAAGAAAATAATAGTTTAAATATCTGAATCCCATTTCAACTAATACCGTGACCTTTTGTGAAAAAACCTTCACACCTAATGGATTGTGCAATTTGTAATTAACAAGTTAAGCACAATATCAATGTTGTTGGAGTGAGGCTTTTGACCGTCTTTCTGACACAGTAGAGAAGATCATCTTCTCTTCCGAAAATTCTAGTATGTTGCATCAGCGTCCTTATGTTGGTCAACTTATATGTGAAAGTTCTCGTAATTTCATCAACATAACATTGTCCTCCCGAAGTCCAATGGAAGCCTATTTTGTAACAGTTCTGGGTATTACAAACAACTATTACCAATGTTCTCTCGAGCCTAGACTTTTTCCTTGTCCATCTTATCCCCTGCCAAATTCGACTTTTGCTCACATTCCTAGCACAAGTCCCAGGATCTTTGCCCTATGTGGCTCCCTCAAGCTAAATTCATTCTCTGATGTAAAAATCGGTCGAAATGTCAGATTCAACTACTTTTAAAAGACTAACGGACCTTTCTCATTGTGTTGAGCCGAATAGCCACATGTGCTCCACATCACCCCATTTGTGTGTCCACATGCAAGGCTTGAAAATTTGCTACACACTAAGAGGAGAGACCTTGCATGAGCTTATAAGTAAGTTTTCCTTGTAACGTATCTAAAGAATCGTTCTCTCATGAATTTCAACGCATAGTGTGAACATGGGACTTTCGTACAATACATCCATGTACTACAATCGCCTATTTAACGGTCAAATATGTTATAGTGACATTCAACGACCATACCTCTCTGGTAAGGAATCTCCCCTGCAATGTCGTTTCCCATGAACTATAAATGACAATCTTGAAACACCTTGTAATTTACTTTCTGAACTAAGACAGGTACGAAAAATACAACGGCAAAAACACATTAGGTTCATTTCTTCATGTTTCGGCTCAAAAGAACCAACCCGAAGGCAATAAACAATATTGGTCAACTTCCATGTCCAAGGTTAGAAAAATTACATATCCCAACCACAGAAGAACACAAGCAAAACAAACCCTAGCATAACTGATTAAAAGCACAGAAAAACACGAAACTTACTAAAATACGAGCCAAATTTTACATGTATAACAGTAGTTTGCTCCAAAATGGGAACAGAAGAAAAATCGGCAAAGGACAATAGCCATAACTGCAGTCTTGAATGAAATTTTCTATCAGAACGTCATTCCTCCCAAATTCTGACCTGTCTACGCAGAAGTAAGCTTTGATTTCCCAAAACCGATGGATTAGCCACCTCCGGACTTGAGTGTGTTACTCAACCTACATTAACAAGTATATTGTAAAAAAAAAAGTTGAAAACTAAAAAGAAATTGAAAATTCATCATCACTTGCAACCGTACAAAGTTTTAAAACTATATTTAAGCACACCAAAAAAATTATGTTATGAAAAAATCCCCCCAACCCGCACTATGCATATTGTTCAAAAGGAAAAATAACAGTTATTGGCACTCCATAAAAGTCGCCTTGCAGTCCTCCCTAGTGAAGAAAATAAAGGACGTAGGAGTGCATGATGACTTTAGTGCTAATAACAATTCCCATAGCAAAACTCAAACAGAATGCATATCAGGCAGGAACCAGGATTACAGTCAATGGTTTCAGAAGGGAATTAATGGATAAAGAATCCTAATGACTTCATGTTGGACCCTTGAAATTTCTACTACGTTAGTGGGAACAGTGTTAGCATAAATAGTTAATATTATGCATGTATACAACAAATGTGAAAACTACTAGTACTCGCTTTTTGTTCTAGCTTAGCAGTTGGAGGTCTAATTTTAATTTACCATCACTGACAGTTTAACTCTGAAATTATCAAATTCGTTCTACGAGCTCGGTTTCTGCATGATGCTCATGGTTAAAATCGTTATAAACACCTTATTGACAACTAAAGTACCAACTAATGCTTTTTGGGACATGTGGCTTCTAATAATGGACACTGAGCATATAACTCAACAATAAGTTACCCGACTTTTCCTTTCCCCTTTGCTCTTCACAAGGGAAGCCAAGACAATAGGTAATAACTATTAGCTCAACCTTTATCCAGTTAAACGTCAGTTCAGTGTCATCCAGTTTTAAAACTGTTGAAAATTTCTAGGATACATAAATGTGTAGAACACGTGTAACTACACAGGAACACATCCACCATTTCTAAATAGAATTACAGAAAATTTGACAAAAAGAAACTCATACCAGTCCAAGCCCTCAAATAGGCCTTCCCCTTTTATGGCAGAAGTTTTAAAAATAGCCCACTGGCGATTTTTTATCTTGTGCAACTCTAAAGCGTCAGTTATTGGAGCATCATCAAGTGCACCAGGAAGATCCTAATAAACCAAAGAAAATATAAAAATGATCACAATGAAAAAAATAGGCACATACAAAGATATGAAACTGAACCTTGAATGTAAGAACTGCTGCCCTTTCAAAGTTTTTTAACAAATGACATTTTTCTTGTTCTTATACATATACATATTATTCAAATGATTAAACAGCAATTTTTCACCGAACCATGCAAATCTAACAGGAAATTCCACAAACCTGCTTATTGGCAAAAATGAGGACAACTGCACCTTTCAACTCTTCCTCCTGCCAAAGGGCTCAAAAGCAATAAAACCACTATCAAATGCACAAATATACATAAATAAAGAACACAATCAATAAGTAAAAGCCAAACTCAAGGGAGTGAGAGAAAGAAAGTAGAATTATGGAATCACAAACATCCAAGGCCAAGAATTCACATTAACAGAAGTTTCTCGCACTACAAAGAATTTCCACTTTATTATTAAGATTCCCAGAGGCTCCAACTAGATCTATTTATATGCCCTCTAAACAAACTTCTTATATCAATTTCTCTTTCCTTATATTTACATTTACAGCAACAGAGCACTGACAACAATACGGAAGCTAGAATACATGACGCAGAAGAAGGCCTATACTATATATTCCAAAAAATTACTTTAAATATTCAAATCCAAGCCAACAATAAGTTACCTCCAGTATTGCATGAAACTCGTCTTTAGCTATTACCAGCCTATCGGTGTCACTAGAATCAACGACATAGATTATGGCCTGAGTATTTGGAAAATAGCATCTCCAATATGGCCTGTGGCAGGAAACAATATAGAGTCTGGTGAGCTTATTGTTAACTTAGAAATCACTGGGAGTGACAAACCAAAAGATACTCAAAGTGACCCAACAATACGCATACCTTAAAATTTATAAAAAAGAGTTTCTGTACCACAAAATAGTATGCTCAAGATGCGCATCATATGAAGAATTTCATTAATAATTCCTAATCATAAAGCATTACATCCTATGGATACTTTCTTTATGGGTAAGCAATTCAAAAGGAAAAAATGAAAAACAAACCTTGACCTACCCCTTACAACTGGTATCCATACTGCTCATCCAGGGATCTCCCTTTTGGGTGTCCTTAGTGAAAACAAGATGTTACCCAGCCAAGTTATTTTTATATAAAGCTGCAATGCTAATAAATATCAATGTTTTATCTTAAAACTTAGTCCCGTGTCAAGCTAAAAAATAAAAGGCTTCTATCATCATCTATCCCTCGTATTCCATGGCAAAGCCCTATTATCTAACAACAATTAGGTGTTTTGCATAAAGTTTCTAATAGCGTGTAGTTGAGACTAAAGCACCCTTAGATTAGATCAATTTGGCTTGAGAAACTATATCTCAACATGAATTTACTTGGACACTAATGGCATCCATCAAAGCATTTCAATAAAATAAAGAAAGATATTTACACAGTGAATTCAGGCATACAGAATAATCAAAGTGATATTGCAACACCCCGAACTGGATCCAATTAATAATCATAAAACACAGAACCACATTTATACTGAAACTTCAATCAAGCAAAGCTTACAGAGGGTTCTGACAATAAATCCTATAAAATACAAGTACATATTCCATTTATGATATTTTTCTAATACAAGTACATGTTCCCTTTATGATATTTTTCTTCTAATCCTCAATGAAGATTCACTTTAAAAGGCTAGAACATATGTACTGATCAAGATTCATCTGGCACTTCAGATTACAAAATATTATAACTTATACTTCTATTAATATAAATACAGAAAAGTTTACAAAATATCAAACCATATCAAAAGACCATTTAGTCAAAGAAACAATACCTGATACTTGTCTGTCCACCTGTATAAGCAAACAATAACAAATTTATTAGAACAATGCAAAAACGTGACTTCTCTTTTTTTTATTTTTATCAAGAAACTGACATGAGTCCATAACTTGAGCTTTAAAAGTTATTATCCATCATATTAAAGATTAAAACATTATATAAGTAGTGAAAATGATGTAAGAGCTTTTAGAGTTATTTTCCATTATCCAGAAGGAAATACACGTTAACATTGCTTCCAAAAATTACAACAATGCACCAGTAGTCATGAAAGGCAAAGTTTAAAACCAAAATATCATGACCATAGCATACTGCCTCCTTAAAAGAAAATTCAATATACAATAAACTAAAATAATTCTGTACATGAACACAAACTCCACTTAAGCCACAAAAACCAACAAGCAAAGCATAACACATTCAAACACGCAGAATATAGATAAGAATATACACTTCTCTGTAATGACAGGATAAAAGACTAGATTATTCAACTTTGTACATTTCATATTAACTGATAATTTTGTTTACGTTAAGTACATGAACACAGCCAACCACCAGAAAGGGAGGGGAGGGAGTGATCAAAGTTAGGCCTAATACATCCGCCTTCAGTTGGGGAAATAGAGATCATGGTCTTAAAGAAGAAAAATTGATAGAACCAAACGACATATTTTCTTTTGAATATTTTGGTAAAAGCATCCATTTTAGACCTGGTTTGGTACTGAGATGATTCTGAAAAAAGCTGGTATCAAAAAAAGCTGGGAGCTGTTTTTGTGTTTGGTAAACATTCAACTTCAACTTTTTTTCACAGTTTTGGGTGAAAAAAAGCTAAAAACAAGAAGCTGCAAAACCCAGCTTTGAAAAATCGGCTTTTTTTCACATCTGTTTTACATAAAAGTTTACCAAACACTATAATACTGTTTTTTTTTTTTTTTCAAAAGCACTTTTACAAAAAAATTTACTAAACACTTTGCTGCTTTATTTCACAGCCGCTTATTCTCACAGCACAGCAGAATTAACTTTTTTTCAAAGCACAGCAATACCAAACCAGCCCTTAATATGGTTATAGAGGTCCAATCCAGTCATGAATAGCTTAAGTTCAAGCCATGGTGTCTTTCAATCCTGTTTGTTGATTCAAGGAACAAATCAAGCTCAAGCTTGTATCAGTCGCCTAGGCATAAAATTAAGCTGTGAATCACATCAAAACCATCTCCTTAATATTGTACTAAAATTCATGTGATTCCAACAATAAATCAGCTTCTCATAAGTCATTTGAAATAGGATCAACAAGTACAATCTAAATCGAACATGACTAGAGTTTGAACCCTACTGTTTTGGATATGGATCTGGTTCTCTGATCCACTAAGTATTCAAATTTACAACCGTTACAATTATAAGGTTATTGAATTACGTATCCAAGTTTTTTTGCCTCACTAAGAGTTTTACCCCTAACATTCATACTGACTCTACAAAATTAATTAAATCAAAGCACATCTAATTTCCAACTTCAGGTATACTCTAAATAGCAGGTCATTGTTCTCCTACAATATGGAATCAAAGTAGCATATCTCACTTCATGCCTACTGAAGATACAAGTAGGGTATATATAGGCATACCGAGATCCCAGACTTGGAACTTGATGTTGTTGTACTGCACTGTCTCAACATTAAATCCAATCGCTGCATCCAAGTAAAAGAGATGATTTAACAAAATATCTAATTTCTAATCCGAGGAACACGGTAAGCTGCACAAACTCGCTAGGCTACCATTCAAGCAGTACATTGACTTGTTACATTCAAATTTTCATCTTGTAATTTGTGAGCAACCAAACAACAAGAAAATCAAATACAACCCATAAACAACCGAACCCGAAGAAACGAAAAGGAATACCAACTTGGGATCGTGGAGACAACCTCCCCCATCTGGAGCCGATCTGGGGAAAACCCAATGCAAGTCAGAAACCACCCAAAAAATAGCACAAACCCACTTCACAAAATCGAAAAAAAAAAAACACAAAAGGGCAGTGAAATCGCACAGAGAATGGTGGTTTTGCCAGCATTGTCCAATCCGAGGACGAGGATCCGAGCTTCCTTGTTCCCAAACAGTGAAGAGAACATTTTAGTGAACAAAATGCCCATCTTTGTGCGAGATTTGATTTCGCCTCAGCGCATGAATGGGCTCGGAGATCAAACGGATTTGAATCCTTTTATGGGTCTGAGATCGGATCTTGAACGCAGAACCCTTTACCTCCCTGCAAATACCACCAGAGTGAGAAAAGTGTGATCACGGAGAGAGAGAGAGAGGGGGGGGGGGAGATTTGCGTGCCTGGGGAAAGAGAGAGGGCCTGCCTGCTTGTGAAAATTGCTGAGGATTTGTGAAATTTTGAGAAATTTGAAAATTAGGGGTGGTGGAGATAAGAATTGTTTTGTTCTTCTCCGTTTGCAATTTTCTGAGAGGAACGAATCGAAATTGGGGAACACGGACGCAGTCTGGCATTTTAGAGGAGTTTTATTCCCGTGATCAGCGTGCCGTAAAATATTCTTCATTCAGTGGGACGCAATTGCTTACGTGGTAATATTCTGCTCGTTGATTACAAGAGAGGATCCTTGTTGGATCTTTTTTACGAGGATTTTGGGGATTCTTCAATCACATCCGTTCATCGTACATCGTGCAATTAGTTTTTGTTAGGTACGGTTTTGTATTCAATTTTAAATAAAAAAAACTTACAATAATTTCTGACTGTACAATGTATGATAAATGGATGTGATTAGATGATTCTCAAGATCCCCACAAAGAGGATTCGAAGAGAATCCTTCTAGGTTGATTACCTTGGAATACAAAATTTTGTGTGTATCAGTGTTTGGGCCCAAAATATTATTGTTGGGCCGAGCAGCAGGATGTGCTCGGCCCAAGGTGATGATAAATACTATGGGCCGAATAAATAAATCCCGGGCCAGCTGGCAGGGTCGGCTAAATCCTATCCTAAGTAGTCCGGATGAATAGAAAAGGTCGAGAGAGTCCTAGTGCGACCAGGATTCTCGACCGGCAAGGAATGGAGTCCCGAAAAGAAGGAAAATTCAGAATCCCAGTAGGAGTAGGTTTGTTCGAGTTAGAGGCGAAATGGGACAAGGATTCCCAATCCAAATCAGAATTGGTTTCAAGGAATGGGGCACTATAAATACAAGAAATCATGCAACAGAATAGGCCCTTCAAAATCAGCATACAATTGCCCAGCGCAAAACCTCTCAAACACCTTGAGATTTTTCCTTTTCTTTTCCTACCGACACACCTTCAGTTTGGATAAACACCACTGTGGAAGCGCCCGGCGAGCATCTTCAGTTTGGATAAACAGCATTGCTGCCGCAGAATCAGCCGACCAAGAAGCACCTTCAGTTTGGATAAACAGCACTGCGTCGAGGTCGACCGGTTATCTATCTAAGTCTCGGTCGAGAAGGGTTTTCGAACCTTTGTTGGCAGAGGTCACCTTACTAGCCTTCTCGGCATAGTTAGGAGTTACGAATTGCATTACTCGGCGTACTGGACGCCGAGTGGTTTTATGATTGGATACTCGCAAGTGAGTTTCAGGGTTCGGCATTCCGACGGCCGAACTACGTTCACCATCAAAACATACATCACGTTTGAGTACCTGTGCCCATATAGTTTGGTCTCAATTCGACGTGCTTATACTCTTACGAATATAATCACAGTGACCGAATCGGGCTCCGACGATTTGTGAACTCTGCAGAATTAGCAACCTTGTCTTCAGGCTGTAGAACCCAGAGACCGAGAGCGTTCCTTCCTCGGTCGCAATCGCAAGATAGAGAAGTCAACGACGCGCCCAAAGCGACATCAACAAATTTTACTCCTCGCCCAAGCTCGACCGACGAGTTGGCACGCCCCGCATCCGACCGAAGGACATAGTTAGCTTATTAGTTACTCGGCCTGCGCGCCACGTAGGTTTTGTAATTTTTAGAGTCAACATTTTGACACGCCCGGTGGGACCTTTGTGCTAAACCTTTGGAGTTCATGACCGTTGAAACACGGTCTACAAAGAAGAAAACAACCATGGGAAAGTCAACAGCTGACTTGCCAGTGCAAGGCCTTGGGCAGGAGTTGCACCCTACAAAAAATCCGATCATTGTTGCGCCGCCCGAGGCCACAAGTGTAACACGCCGAGAGAATGAAATCTGTCTCGGCGGGCAACCTCATAACCCAGCAGTCCCGAATCAAACGGCTGGAATGTTTGTGGAAGGGATTGTGGAAGATTGTGATGACGATGGTGGGGAAGGTTTCGATCCACCAACTAGGACATTCCTTAGGAGACGACTGGATGAACAGTATCGTCAGGTCAAGCAGTCAATTGGTCAAAAGATGAATGATTTGCTAGAAGCAATACGAAGTAACAACGATACACAGACCAGAATGCTTGAACTACTGGTTAGTAAAGCCTTCGAAGATGGCCAGGTCGGCCAACCTCGGCAGCTCTCGACGAATGTGCCCATACCAGCCGAGAGAGGGTCCGCTCGGCCGCAACCAGTCACCTTAGAAAGAAGAGGACCAGGAAATAGATTCGAGGGACCAAGCCAGGGGGAAGAAGCCGCTTCCGTAAACATGACCGAAGTCCAGAGAATGATTGACTCGGCCCTGAAGAAAGGGCCGAAGTTTCCAAAATTCATCAATCCATACCCGGCTTATGTAGAAAGGTTTGAATACCCACGAGGATTTAAGATCCCTGATTTCAGCCTCTTCCCCGGGGAATCGTCTTTATCCTTATTAGAACATGTGGCTCGGTTCACAGCGCAGTGTGGAGACGTCAATAGCGACTTCTACAAACTACGTTTGTTTAATTTTTCACTGACAGGCTCATCTTTCGCCTGGTACATTAATCTTCCACCCAATTCTGTGCAGAGTTGGGAAGAATTAGTCGAAACGTTCCATGAACAATTCTATCGGCCAGGGATGGAGATGTCCGTATCATCCTTGGCCAGGATGGCTCAAGCATCCGACGAATCTCCAATGGAGTACTTAACAAGGTTTAAGTCGGCCAGGAATTGGTGCCGAGTACCACTCCCCGAAGTGGAGTTTGTCAGGATCGCCCTCAACGGATTAGACGTGGAGTACAAAAAGAAGTTTCTGGGGGCAAATATTCGAGATATGTATGAACTTGCTCAACACGTTGAACAATATGATTATCTACTCCGAGAAGAAAAGATATCAAAGTCACCATCCCGGAGGACGTTGTATAAGAATCCCACAGTTAGCTATGCATCAGCCGAAAGTGAAGACCCCCAGTATGCTAGTGTGGATGCGGCCGAGATAGTAATAGACAAACCCTATGTTTGCAAGGCTTTGGCGCAAGTAAATTCCAAAGACACCAAAACTCGTTTGGCCGCCGAGGAAATGAATAAGTCATCAAAAGTATACACTTTTGATATCACCAAAGCTGATGCAATTTTCGATCAATTATTGGCAGCAAAAATCATCAAGCTTCGGCCGGGACATACTATCCCTAAGGCTGATGAATTAAAAGGAAAGATATACTGCAAGTATCATAATTCTAATAAGCATGCAACCAATAATTGTGTTGTGTTCCGGGACACAATTCAAAGTTGGATCGAAAAAGGAAAGTTGAAATTTCCGGAAAAGCAGATGGCGGTCGACGTTAATCCTTTCCCTTCAACAACGATTGGTATGGTGGATGCTCACCTTCCTAAAAACAAAGGGAAGGCCGAATACGTCCCGGTGCAACATGTCCGTCAACGGAATGGTCGCACAAGACTAAAGCTTGATATATTTTCAAATGCACTACCAACGGAACAATCGGGGCCGCCCGCCGATGAGCCTATGCCAAGGTCAAGTTCCGACGGAACTCATGAATCAACAGTTTTATGTGATCATTGTAAAACACCAGTTGAACTTGGGAAGAAGACATCTTCAACACCCCCCACGGCCCCTGTAACATCACCAAAGAGACTTGGTAACGGTCCACGACGTCAAATGTTTGATCGACTCGACCCACAAGTACGGCCGAAAGACCAGGCCTCGGTCAGGCGGCGTCTGGATTTCGACGCACCTTTCTACAATGAGGATTATTACTCGCGCAATACCAACAGTTCGGGCTCACCAGCCGATGGCAAAACTTTCAAACCACCCAGGACATCAGATCAACGCTGGTACAGTTACAATTCTCCGACTGGCTTATATACGGCACTGTCCAAATCCCAAAAACGTCGTCGTCAACAGATAGATTGCATGGCTCGGCGACGAGAAGCGCAGGCCAGCCCGGCCAACCAGTGGCAACCAAAGAAGGCCGTGGAAGATGATAGGAGCATATTTAGGCGACTTACTTAGCTTGTTTTCGTGCATTTATATTGTTAATTCATAGTTGTTTTTGGCGTTTAAGCCATTTTCGTGTGTTTTTAGGTTCATGTGGCTAAGGAAGCAAAAAGATGCATTTTGGAGCATTTTGGAGCAAAATTGGACTTAGAAGGGATAACTTATACTTGGAGCAAAAGGAATGGACGAAATTGAAGAGTTGATGTCACAAGGATTCCTACTTGAAGTAGCCACACACCTTCCACATTTCAGCCACATGCACTTGTTCCTCCATCATTGCACCAACAACAACATTGCACATGCACTCCCTTTAATTAATTAACCCACATGCACCCTTTATTCTTTCATCATTCCAGCCACTCCACATCCCTCACCAAGAAATCATTCAACACATGCATCCATAATCATTTCTCCACACCAAAACCGTGCACATGCATTCCCCTTGTGCAATTTCATCATTTCACACCTCCATGGCAGCCACCAACCAACCTAGCTGTCATGTTTCCCCTTTAATCATTCAAACATTCACCCACATGCATTTCTAACCCACATGCACCCTAGATTCTAATCAGCCATTCACATTTAATCATTCATTCCCATCAGATTTCTAGCATATTCACATGCATTCCATCCTTTAAAACATTGCACATGCACTCCACATGCATTCATCCTAGCTGTCATGTTTCCCCTTTCATCATTCCCTCACATTCTTTAAATCAGCCAACACATGCATCCACTTTTCTCCCATCAGATTTCCAACATTGCACATGCATTCCCCTTACAATTTCAGCCATCCTAGCTGTTTTGCACATGCATTCACTTAACCTAGCTGTCATGTTCCCTCTCCCATCCATTCATCTCCCTATAAAAACCATACACACTTCACACAACATTCATACACACTCATTCATTCTCATTCACTCTTCCATATTCCAGAAATTCGTCAAAACCTCTCCACACCCTTGCAGCAGCCACCAAAACACTTTTCTCCTCCATTGCAGCCACTCCAACCACTCCCCAAACCATTCACACCATCAAACTATCCTTAGACCTTGTGCTACAACGAAGAGGAAGATAAGAGGGCCTAAACGTTCATACAATTCAAGTTTGAGTTGTTGGAATGTTTAGGTGTTTCTTTGATTTCAATG